AAGACAACCTTGACAGTTTATGTGGCAGCCAAAAAACTCGCCCATTACTTCCGGCTCACCCAATTAAGGTCTTGTCAGACCAGGGGAGTGGGAACTCTCTTACGGGCGGTCAAGACAGCGGATGTAGTGAAATGGTCCCTATTAATCAGCCAATATCAAGTGAGTTTCCAGTCGAGAACAACAATCAAAGGCCAAGCCCTGGTGGATTTGTAGTAGAATGCACGACGTGGAACATAACTGAAGAAAGACGTCGTGATGAAGAAGATTGATGAACCCTCATGACTGATGGATCGTCATTAGAATCCAAAGGTTGCAGGGGAGGGGTGGTCCTCATCACCCAGAGGGTTTCAGAACATACTACCCCCTCAGGTACTTATTCCCTTTATCAAACGAGGCAGAATATGAGGCATACTTTTCGGCCTCAGGATAGGCCACTATTTCAAAGTCCAGAAGTTAAGGGTTAAGAGCTACTCCAAGCCAGTAATCACATCTTAGGGGAGAATACGAATCCAAAGAAGAGCGAATGCAAAAGTACAGGGATGCAGCCCTCGAACTCGTCAAAAACTTTAAGCAATCCGATCTGGTATGTGTTCCAAGAGCTCAAAATGGGGAGGCAGACACCTTGTCAAAATTGACACAGGATGCACCCGAGCATCTCACCCGCATTGCAAGAACATAAGAAATATAAGAGCTGGATAAGCCGAGTATAGAGACCACAAAAGGTCAAGAAGTACTGCCCATCGGGCTTGCCCTAAAGTGCTAGATTGATGATTTTGTAAAATATAAAGAGGATGAAACACTGCCAAACGATGAAAAAAATGCGAGGATAATATGGAGACGAGTTCCAAGCTATATGATCCAAGACGGAAAGCTTTACAAGCAAAGCTATAATGGTGTGCTATTGAAGTGCCTAAGGACGAAACAAGCCTAGGCTCCCAACAAGTGATGAAAGAATTACATGCTAGAGTTTGCTCATCTCATCAAGGGGTGTTCACCTTAGGCAGGAAGGCCATAATAAAAGGATAATAAAAGGATATTTTTGGCCAACAATAATGAAGGATTGCACCCACTTCACCCAAAGATGTGAGGTCTGTCAAAAGTCCAGGTAAGTCCCGGGAGAGGTGCCACCCTATACACGCCAATTAGTACAACAATTCCTTTCTCCATGAGGGAAACCGATCTCGTCGGGGCCCTCCCGCAGGGTTTAGGAGGCCGGAAGTTTGCCATTGTAGCAATTGATTACTTCACTAAGTGGGTAGAAACGGAACCTATGTCCACAATAACTGTTGAACGGTGCAAAAGGTTCGTGTGGAGAAATATATTCTGCTGATTTAGATTTCCTATGCAGATTATCACAGACAGTGGGAAGCATTTCGACTCCGAACCTTTCAAAGACTTTTGCAGGCAATGGGGGTGGAGGCCAACAGAGCATCTATTGCCTACCCCAATGCAATGGAAAAGTGGATAATGCGAACTGAACAGTTGTTAGTGGCCTTAAAAAAAGTTGGAGTCCATGAGCACAACCTGAGTGGACAAGTTGAATAACATACTTTGGGCCTATCGCACAACCCCAAGGAAAGCCACTGAGAAACACCATTTGCTTTGACATATGGGTTTGAGGCCCAGACTCCGTTTGAGGCAATTGTGCCAAGCAAAAGAGTAGAAGAATACAACCCACGGGATAACGAAGAGTTGTTAACAACCGAGCTCCACCCAATTGAGGAACGAAGGGATTGAGCATTCATAAGGGCTGAGAATTACATACGTCAGGTGAGGGATATCACGATGCTAAGGTACGGTCCCGATCATTTGATATTGAGGACTTAGTCCTCGGGTTGAGGACTGCTAGCCGACCTCTGGAAGGGGGAAATTTCGCCAAAAACTAGAAAAGGCCTTACAAAATCAAAGGAATAATTGAGCCTGGAACTTACAAGTAATGTACTCTCAGTGGAAGCTGGTAGACAGAGCCTGAAACTCTAAACATTTATTAAAGTTCTACCAGTAAGTTTGTACTTTTTCCAGAGTAAAATTTAATAAAAGCGTGTTTTTAGTTCACAATATTTTTTATACTTGGTAAACACCTGTGAAGGTTTCTTAACTGGCCAAGGCCTACAAAAAAGAAAAAGGTCATGCCAAACTGGTACTCGCAAAAAGGCGAAATATGATTTCAAACTCGTCCATCCCAAAGCTCAACGACAATCTTTCTCAAGATTAAAGCAGGAATAAACAACTTTTTCCAAGGTTAAACAACTTTAATAAACAAGATTAAAACTTCCTAAAACGGGAGAGACGACCTTTTCAAAGGTTTAAAACGATTCTACAAGGCTAAAGATGAATTAATGGAATTAACTCCGCACCGGAGGGTTTTAAAACAAAACCCGACTAATTCAAGAGACTGGCTACACGGTATCAAACGACCGGAACAAAAGCCCACCCGACCTGGCTCAATCATAAAAGCCTAAGAGTTACAAATTAGTGAAAGTCCCCCTAACGTGGGAGAGACGATCTTGACCGGAAAATTCAAGGAAACCCCCCAAGTGAAGATACATTGTGGCTAGAGGATTACTTAAAGGCTAATGCATTAAATGAATTGTTCCTGGGCTGTCAGGCTGTCAAAAAGTTGAATGGTCTAAAGAGAAGGTTGGGTAGAACTGGAGGCCATTTCTAAATTGAGAGCATGCAAACCTACGATAACTAAGACAACGAGCTTCCATCAAACTATCAAGTCCCCAAGAAAATCAACCTGCCAAAAATGGGGCTAGGAAAGACAAGAGAGGATTCTTAAATCAAGGAAAACCGTTGTGCACAAGACACAGGTAATCAATATGCAGACAGAGAAGAGGAAAGCAGATTGAATATGTGCCAAAAAAAAGGAAGGATGTTTAGTTACACGCCGCCCCAAGGGCGGAAAAAACCCACTGGCACGCAGGCCTTAAAACATGTTTGTTAAAATTGTCAATAATGTATGGGGGCAGAGATTAGTTACCAACATGAGGAGGGGCATAAATTTTTGAAGCAGGGCCATCCTGAGGGGCTTCCAGGTTGACAATCTCTGCAGGCAACCCCCATGATTGAGTTGTGAAGGAGGGCTCTCATTCCTTCGGGGCATGGTAGACAGATTGCTGCATGGCAAACTTGCCTAGCTCGTAACATATGGCCCCATCATCGCCCAGCCTGGCCTCACCATCAGGAGTCAGCAACCATTCTTGGGCAATTCAGCTCGACGGGGGACCAGGACTTTCTCCACCTCAGCCTTAAAGGCTTCTCCGCCAAGGTAGGCCTGAACGGCAGCAGCTCTAGCCTCCTCCACCTTCTTTCTGAGATCCTCCTCCTTGACTCGCCAAACGTCCTCTATTGCTTTGTGGGCAACTTCGGCATCATTGAAGTGTGTGACCTAATCCGGAGGAAGAGACGTCAGGCTATAAACTCGGCTATGCAATGAACAAGTGTGTGATGGGGATGAGTTGACAAGGGATGATGCCATAATGGTCCAGAATGTTCAAAAGAGCAGGGTGGAGGGGGAATCGAAGGCCTACTTCAAAACTTGCTAAATAGACCCCAAAATGAGAATGCGACGGGGGTTCCAAAATGTGTCTGCCCGAGAGTAGGGCGAGAACATATGACGCTTGGACCGGCGAGGCCCGCCGCTTCATTAAATTTAGAATCTGAGATAGCGGCGACCGGAACCCCGCGGAAAAAATCAGCGGACAAATAGAAATGGGTTTTGATCTGCGAGAATCCACCAGGATCGGGGGCTGATTGGAACTAACCCTCTCGTCATCGGGAAAAAAATGTGAAGGGGCACAAAACTAGATGAAGACATGGAGACTGACCTGAAAATGAAAGATAGAAGCGACGCGGAGGTCTCCCTTCATCTAGGGTTCGTAACCGGAATCACAGGCTTACAAAAGGAAAATCAGTAGTAGGTTTGCACGAATGAGAAATGTACCTTTTACTGCGGGGATTGTGATGCCTTTCGAACTGCTTGGGAACCGCTACCAAGGCACTCAAGTGCTGAAGTTGGTAGGACGGAATCGGGTACCGTGAAATTGCAGGCACATGTCACGTTATAACCACATTAAATGTGAGATGGCGCACAATCCAAAAGGAAATTTTCAAATTCGAAGCTCATTACTCTTCTAAAATCAAGCCCAACTTATTTTAGAGAGTAGGGGGGCCGTCATGATACAATGGACCGCGACCATAGCCTAAGTACAGATTATATACGAAACCCATTATACGGGATCAGTAAATCAAACCCATTAATCAAGGTTAACTAATAAGAGCCACTGGGCCTGACAGGGGAACGCGACCCGCGAAAGGAACCCACAGTCAGGCCGGCCTGACTAACTAGCAGACGTCGAGCCTAGGCGGGATTCTAGCGAGGTCAGACTCACCCTATGGCTTATGTGGCAGGATATCTTTTGTGTATAGCTATCTGGCAGCGGCAGAGATTTAGCGGAAGAAATGTGGACATAAAGGAATAGTAATTGCGTAATAATGGGATACGTTAGAAGAGTCCTATCATGATTAGACTATTAAATGTACCGATTATATCTCTTTAGGCTATTGTAGCCCTACGACCTACTATACGTTTATAAATACTTCATGTACTTACCCTAAAAGGGATCCGCCTCCTAACTACCTTATGCTGCCTAAGTACTCTATTCTTATATATTAGCTCTCGTAGTTGGAATTAAACTCCATCAATAGTTATTATAAGAATAAATATGACTAATTATAAGAATAGTTTTGATGATGATGATAGTAATATATAATAATAAAATCATGTCTAAATTGTTCTAAACTGGATCTTTCTGATCAAATTTTTCTGATTTTTTTCTCATATGATATGAACTGAATAAAATAAGAATAAATAAAATGAATGAGAATAAGACGAACAAAGAGCGCATTTGTCAGCTTCTTTGAGAATATCAAATTTTTATGTTCGACCAAAGTTTGGAAGAAAAACGAAAAGTAAAAGAACTACAATTACTTGCCTGGTCCATCACAAAATCAAGATGATAACGCAGAGCAGAATAGGTGGATGAGTTTGTGGCCAAGCGGTACGATATATTAAACCCTTGAAATCCAGAATATACAAATCCCATTACATTTACTGCCAAACAATACCTGTGTACGTACCAAGTGTATAATTATATACTATCGTGTATAATACATATAATGGCGATCAAAGCTAGTTTCAACTTTCAAGAATGACAATATACATTTGAAATGAGTCAAGGGTCAGATTGGTACTCGAAGTTGCATAAAAAGGGTCAAATAAGTCCTTTTTGTCCGGCCGTTGCCATTTGAGGCGGTTCCCGGTGGAATTTTTTGATGAATTTTTTTTAACATCTTATTCATTAAGTCTAGTTTACTCATACCAAATTTCAGCTAAAACTTCAATCGGGAAGGCATTCAAATGAATTCTTGAAGATAACTGTGCTTTTAATTGCGCAGTTATCTTCAAGAAGTCATTTGAATGCCTTCCCGGTTGAATTCTTAGCTGAAATTTGGTATGAGTAAACTAGACTTAATGAATAAGATGCTCAAAAAATTTCGTCAAAAAATTTAACTGGGAACCGCCCCAAATGGCGATGGCCGGACAGAGCCTCCTATATAAGGACTTATTTGATCATTTTTATACAAATTCGAATACCAATCTGACTCTGACCTCTTTTTATAAAGTTGAATTGGACTTAGTAATTTTTATTTGGAAACAAAATTATTACGTGTCAGTTCATAAACAGAAAGTTTTTAATTGACAAAGTTAGGTCTATACTTACTTTTTGATTGACTTCATATAAATTAGTGATATATAGGTGATTAGGTGACGTAAAAGCCAAAGCTTTCTTCCTTATGAAAATATGTGTGCGTGCGTTGTTGGGGACAGGGCGGCTCTATAGTTACACTGGGTTGAAGTACATGAGAGTCTAAATAATATAACAAAAATGCTTGATGTACCCACCTTTATACCCACATTATACCCACCATGTTTGTGGAGGTTTTTTTTGTCTGTGAACCCGGTTCATAGACAATATTTTTAAGGTAAAAAATTTCGTGTAATTTTTTTCTGAAAATATTCTTTGTACCGGTCCAGTGCCCTGGCTCCGCTCCTGCTTGTAGTAGTTGTACACATCTCTCGGTGGTCTCAGATGTGGTAAAAAGGGAGAAAGAAAAACTAAACAAAAAATAACAAAAAAATGAAAAGAATAAGAAAGGTCGAAGCAGAAGAGGGAGGGAGGGAGGGAGAGTAACAAAACAAAAATATGAAAAGAATAATGAAAGGCAAAGAAGAAGCCATGAGAGGGATAAAATGAGAAGAAGAAAGAGAAAGAAAAAGAAGAGGGAAATTAAAAGTAAAAAAAAAATATCAACTGACCGGTTGAAAAAGGTCAAGTTCCGGTAATTTGATTAATGTGATCCTTCTTTAAGAGTTAATGTGTTTATGTGATGTTTTTTAGTAGATGTGTTTAAGTGATGTTTTTTTAGTAGATGGGTTTAAGTGATGTGTTTGCAATAGTATAAAGGCTTATTTTGGTCTTTCATGTGACACTACCATTACATAGATAAGTTTCAAAAATATGAAGTTTCAACACGAAGTTTTTAGAGCCAATTTTTTTCTTAAATAGATACAAGTGCTAAAAATATGATATCATTGTTATTTTATTTTATATATGTCTGTTTTTTTTTTCAAATGTTTTTTGAAGTAGCAACAAAAAAACTACATTGCAAATTTATTTATTTATACATCAGAATGTTGAATTTTAAATCATAACTTTTCGTAAAACAGTTGACAAAAAAAATTGATGTATAATACTCTCTTCGTCCCGGTAAGATTGTCCTATTTTACCTTTTTGGGAAGTCCCACTAAGATTGTCTCATACCATATTTGGTAAAGATTGTGTTGCTCTAAATCATTCTAACTTTATTCTTATTTTATCAATTTAATATCAACCACACAAATATACTTGTCTCGTCCAAATCTTAGTGGGAGGGAGGTAGCTTAGTAATAAAAGAAAGGATTTAATTTAATTAAAAAAATGATATATAGTGAATGGATATATTGATGGGGCAAAGAATGTATATGAAGAAGCTACCTGTACTCTTTGTATCGGTGCCAGGAGTCACCAGTCCAACCTTGAGTTTGATCAGCCGCCATAAGGGAGAAGGAAACGACGCAGAAGAGCGCTTGGGCAAGCCTAAGCACTAAAGGCGCGGTGCTAATAAGTGGATATCCGCCGGATGGGAGGCTGGAATCGAAGTGCAGCTTTGCGGCAGGGGATGGCTGGGGGGAGTAGAACTTGTCAACTGCGGACACGGTAATGGAGGCTTTGGAGTGGGGGGGAGGAAGAGATTCCAAAAACGGGTCGCGGAAGGGCGATTGCTCAGGGGAGTGGAACGTCGTCTCCATCTGTGACTCCGTATCGGACATCGACATCTGCCGGCTGCTCTGCTTCCGGTGCACGGAGTTGGGGATTCTGTTTTCCATCTTCGCCGGACAAAGCATAATTCCGATTTCTAAATTATATTGATCGAAGAAGAAGACATGAGCTAGTGGAGAAACTTTTGGGAAAAGAAACATTGCATACTTAAAGCATAAGTAAATCAAAGCAAGCCGCCCGCCGGCTCCTCATGGATTCTACGCACCCTCACTCTTTATCTGCTGTTGGATCATTCTTTATGTTTTTTACATCCACTTTTTTCATGGGAATGTTGTGTAATGAAGAAGATGAAGATCACATTATAAATAAGCTCTGAATAACTTCTTCTTAATCTCTGAAATTTCTGAGTGAGTTTACAAGGCTTCACCAAGCTCCTATTTATAGTGGTTAAGCTTGATGATTAGTCATCTAAAGGATGACTCTACAGATTTGGTGACAATAACAAATTGATCCATCTGTTCTAAGTTGGTTACAAGGATTGATGCTAGATTAGTGTCCTGATTACAAGGATGAATAATTCACACCTGTAATTCTCATGATTTTACAACACTCCCCCTTGAATGTTCATCCTTGAATAGTTATTTTGTTATAATGAAAAATTAGTGTGAAAGTTAAGGGGTAAAGATTACGACATATAATATCGTTGTATTTGGATGTACTGTCTCATTAAAAACCTTATCAGGAAAAACTCAGTGGGATAAAAACCTGATGAAGGAAAAAAGAGTGCAGTGCATTCAAATACTCCCCCTGAAATTAACATAAATTTTGAAGACGGCGCATGCCGATTTTCTGTACAAGTTCAATGAACTTCTTTGGGGGTAAAGATTTGGTGAAGAGATCGGCTGGATTTTCACTGGATCTGATTTGCTGAACGTTGATCATCCCTTCTTTCTCAAGGTCGTGAGTAGAGAAATTTTTTGGAGATATATGCTTCGTTCTATCTCCTTTGATGTAGCCTTCTTTAATTTGAACTATGCACGCAGTGTTATCTTCGTAGATCATAGTAGGGTAAACAGTAATAGGCTTCATACCGCATTCATTTTGGATGTGTTGAATCATTGATCGCAGCCACACACATTCTCTTCCGGTTTCATATAGTGCAATTAACTCCGAATGATTTGATGATGTAGCTGTCAACTTCTGTTTCATAAATCTCCACGAGATTGCGGTGTTACCATAAGTAAATACGTACCCGGTTTGTGATTTCGCCTTTTGAGGATCTGATAAATATCTGGCGTCTGCATATCCGATTAAAGAGGCTTTTGCGTCTTTGTGGAAGAATAAGCCAAGATCAACTGTTCCACGGAGATAACGGAATATGTGTTTGATCCCGTTCCAATGACGCCTTGTTGGACATGAGCTGTACCTAGCTAATAAATTTACAGAAAATGCAATATCTGATATAGTATTATTAGCTAAATACATTAAAGCTCCGATAGCACTCAGATATGGTACTTCGGGACCGAGTATATCTTCGTCGTCTTCTCGTGGACGGAATGGATCATCGTGTATGTTGAGAGATCGAATGACCATTGGTGAAGTCAAAGGATGAGCTTTGTCCATATAGAATCTCTTCAACACTTTTTCGGTGTAATTGGATTGATGGATGAAAATTTCATTCTTCAAATGCTCAATTTGAAGTCCGAGACAAAATTTGGTTCTCCCGAGATCTTTCATTTCAAATTCTTTCATAAGATAATTTGTAGTATTTTCAATTTCATCGGGAGTTCCAATAATGTTTAGGTCATCAACATATACTGCAATTATGGCGAATCCCGAATTTGATTACCGAATGAAAACACATGGACTAATCGGATCATTCTTATATCCTTCTTTGAGAAGGTATTCACTGAGACGATTATATCACATTCGTCCAGATTGTTTTAGTCCATACAATGACTTTTGTAATTTAATAGAAAACATGTCTCGAGGTTTCGAGCTATAAGCTTCAGGCATTTTAAATCCACCGGGAACTTTCATATAAATGTCTGTATCGAGTAAACCGTATAAATATGCGGTCACTACATCCATTAGGCGCATTTGCAGCCTTTCAAAAACAGACATGTCAATGAGAAACCTTAATGTAGTCGCATCGACTACTGGAGAATAGGTTTCTTCATAATCAATTCTCGGCATTTGAGAAAAACCTTGGGCAACAAGTCGGGCTTTATATCTAACAATTTCATTCTTTTCATTGCGTTTACGCACAAATACCCATTTAAAACCCACAGGTTTTATGCCTTTTGGCGTAGGGACTATCGGTCCAAAAACATCACGTTTTTCAAGTGATTTTAATTCAGCCTGAATAGCTTCATTCCATTTTGGCCAATCATGTCGTTTCCGACATTCTTCAATTGATGTTGGATCATTGTCATTGTTTTCATTCATAACATTCGTGGCAACAACATAGACAAATATCTCATTAATATCAATATCTTTTCGATTCCATTGCATTCCAGTAGAAACGTAATTTATTGAAATTTCGTAATTACCAACGTTTCTATCATTATCTGGAATATCTTCCTCATTTAAGGAAGCTGGATCGTCATATGAGATGTTTGTTTTGTCAATATCATTTTCTATGCCAGTATTTTCAAATTGTTCATGTTCTTGTTCAGAAGGATGAACATCTTTGGCATCACAGATCAATTCACATCTTTTAGTTTTTCTTGGTTTTATGTCTTTTGATCCAAGTGGTCTGCCACGCTTTTTGCGTATAGAAGAATCATTTGCAAGAGATTTTTCAGAATTCTCTGCTGAGATTTCGATTCTGGCAGGGGCATTCATAGCAGGAATATGTGACTTTGTCACTTTCTTTGTATCTGTGAATGCATCAAGCAACTGATTTGCAACATTTTGTAAATGGATTATCTTTTGCACCTCTTGGTTCACATGTATTTGATCTAGAATCAAGGTGTGATAATCTTGTTGCATTCCATGTTATTTCTTTCGTACTTGGGTTCGATTTATTAGTTTCTCCCCCTAAGGTTGGGAATAATGTCTCATTGAAATGACAGTCAGCGAACCGTGCGGTGAATAAGTCACCAGTCATCGGTTCAAGATATTTGATTATTGAGGGAGATTCAAATCCAGCATAAATTCCCAACCTTCTTTGAGGACCCATTTTTGTACGATGAGGTGGAGCAATCGGAACATAAACATCACAACCAAATATTTTTATGTGTGCTAAGTTTGGCTCTTGTCCAATTACTAATTGCATTGGGGAATATTCATGATATGCAGTCGGTCTAAGCCGAATTAAATTTGCTGCATGTAAAATAGCATGTCCCCAAGCTGATGAAGGTAAATTACACTTCATTAATAATGGTCTAGCGATTAATTGTAATCGTTTAATCAAAGATTCAGCAAGACTATTTTGTGTATGGACATGAGCAACAGGGTGCTCCACATCAATCCCAATCGACATACAATAGTCGTTAAATGATTGAGATGTAAATTCTCCTGCATTATCAAGTCGGATTCTCTTTATAGAATGATCCGAAAAATGAGCTCTTAATCGTATAATTTGAGCAAGGAGTTTACCAAATGCTAAATTTCTAGTCGATAAAAGACTAACATGTGACCAACGTGTTGAAGCATCTATCAACACCATAAAATATCGAAATGGTCCACATGGTGGGGCTATCGGCCCACAAATATCTCCTTGAATCCTTTCTAAAAATGCAGGTGATTCAGTTGCAATTTTATTTATAGAAGGCTTGATGATCATTTTGCCAAGAGAACAGGCCTTACAAGGAAAATCCCTTGATATTGGAACCCTTATATTCTTTAATGGATGTCCAAGTGAAGTCTTAATGATTTTATGCATCATTACATGGCCTGGGTGACCTAAACGGTCATGCCACAACATGAATGTTTTCTGATCATCTAACTTTGCATTAGAAACCAAATTTATTTCGAATGGACTAATATGAATGAAATATAGTCCTGAGGAATATGCTGGCATTTTTTCACAAAAACATTTAGTGCCAGATTTAGTTGTCGTTAGACAAAGATATTCCTTTTGGTTTTCATTCATGGTTTCTATGTGATAACCATTTTGACGCATATCTTTAAAGCTTAATAAATTTCTCCGCGATTTGCTGGAGTATAAAGCGTCATTTATAAGTAATTTTGTCCCATTAGGGAGCATCACATATGCTTTCCCAGAGCCTTCAATGAGCTTCGCAACACCTGATATTGTATTGACTTTAGCCTCAACTAAAGTCATTTGAGAAAAATATATTTTATTTCTCAAAATGGTGTGTGTTGTGGCGCTGTCTATCGGAAATAGCTCTTTATCACTTGAGTGATCCATATCTTCAATATATGTAAATAAACATAAGCTTGACCACAAATTATGCATGTTATTTAACATAAGAGTACATATATTACACACATTTATTTAAAAACAAGATAAAAAGGGGAAGAGAGAAAAGGTACATAAAACTAGTATTTTACAATATCAGGAGTTTAATATTTTATTTTGTAGCATTTTGATTAATGACAAAAGCATCGTCCATAATAGCATCATCCACGAAGAAGTCGGACCCGTCAAATTTTGGCAGAGGTGGAGTTGTGTCATTAACATAATTAGCTTCCACACTTTTGCCTTTGTTCAGATTCATGGAAGCTTGAAATAATTCCACCAGATGTTTAGCCGTGCGACATTTATTAGCCCAGTGCCCCGTCATGCCACATTTATAACAAGTCGACTTTCCCGATGATTTTGGAGGGCGATTTATTTGATGGGCTTTTTGTTTGCCCTTGCCCTTGTAATTTGGTCTTTCGACTTGTTTGTATTCTCGGTATGACTTGTTTTTATGACCATTAAAATGCCCACGTTTAAAATGCCTTCTACTGCCAATGTATGTTGCATTTGATTCAGTGGCTAAATTATGGCCAGATGGACCATAAACCGAAGGACAGGAACTAGTGGGTCTCAGATTATGATTTTTCATCAAAAGGTCATTATTTTGCTCAGCTACTAATAATACTGATATTAAGTCAGAGTATTTTTTAAAACCCTTTTCTCTATATTGCTGTTGTAGCAGCATATTAGAAATATGCATCGTAGAAAAGGTTTTCTCCAATATATCAGCATCAGTGACTTTTTGTCCACATAACTTTAGTTTGGATGTTAATTGGAACATAGCAGAATTATAGTCACTGATAGATTTAAAATCCTGGAATCTTAAATTGATCCAGTAATACTGAGCTTTTGGCAAAAGTACCTTTTGTTGGTGGCCATACCTCTCTTG